AACTACCACTATGCATTAAATCACACCCAAAAACCGAAGTCACAAAGATTTCTTCCCGTATATAAACACTGATACCATCACAAACAACTTACGACAGCATATCATATAGCTGTTGTTGGGCAGCATCTGAGTTAGCGTGTTACACAGTTCCTCCTTAACCGTCTCGTTGAACTGGTCGCACTGGGTGTTGTATGTACTTGTGTCAACCAGATGCATGAAGGCCTGTAGTGGGAAATGTGCATAGCAGTATGTGAACGAGAATTCAACAAGCCGGCAGTATAAGATGGGGATTGAGACAAGGAGAAATAAAGAGATGTCCAGTAGATAAAGATAAATGACTATGTTTTTTTAAATTAAAAAATGATAATAATAATGCTGATATTAATAATAACAACAATAACAAAAGCAGTCATAAGAGTAATAATGATAATCAATATTATGAAAATAACGACAATGTACTTACCATGGACGCCGGGTATGCAGGAATAAGGGAAGTAATCCAGTGAAGAACATCACTAACAATGATAAGGTCGGGCTGGTCTGAGAGATCCAACGCCCACACAGCAGTGGTGATGATCTGACCTGAAGGGAATCGAGTTTTTAAAGTCACAGTATGTGTGTGTGTGTGTGTGTGTGTGTGTGTGTGTGTGTGTGTGTGTGTGTGTGTGTGTGTGTGTGTGTGTGTGTGTGTGTGTGTGTGTGACTGTATTTATCACCTGACATTTGCTTCTTCGTATTTCTGTTTGTATTACTTTGTCCATCTGTTCTGTAGCTTATGTTGCTGTCTTGCATTAAACTTACCTGCAACGATGTTGATGAGAGCCAGAACAGCAAAACCGGAGGCTGCCGTTTGGAAGGGGAAGCTGAAGACGTAAGCCATCGGGATGCTACCCCAGCCATACAGCACTAACAGCAAGAACAATGCACCTGGAATGAAACCATAGAATGATAATAACAATAATGATGATAATAATGATAATAATAATAACAGCAATAATAATATCAGTAATAATAGTACTAATGATATCAATAAAAATAATAACGATAATACCATAACAGCAACGAAAACAACTATGATAATAATAATAATGATAATTCTACTGCTGATATCTAACAACAATACATCTCGACATGTGCCAGAAGTAAGCTAATATCCATCACCCCCCAAAAAAAACAAAACAAAACAAAAAAAAAAAAAAAACCGTGAACGAGTTGGCGTTACCAGGTGCTTGAGCGACGGTGAAATAATCCTTCGAATCCATTACCATGAAGAAGATAAAGACTGCCAAAGCGGACACCATGTACGTCAGGAGGTCCCACAGGAATGTCGTGGTCCAAAGAGCCCACAGTGGAGCGCCTGTCATGACTTGGACCTGCGTGAGGGCGAGTTGTGTTATTCATGTCAGTTGAGGACGAGAGAAGAAGGAAGGAAGATGGGGGAGAAGAAGCAGAAGGAGGAGGAGTAAGAGGAAGAGAGGAAGTAGAAGATGATGAAGAAGAGGCGGAAGAGGGTGAAGGAGGGGGAGAAGAAAACGAAGACGAGAGTTGTGTGTTATTCTCGTCAGTTGAGTAAGAGAGAGGAAGGAAGGAAGATGGGGGACAAGAAGCAGAAGGAGTAAGAGAAAGAGAGGAAGGAGAAGAAGATGGGGGAGAAGAGGCAGAAGAGAGTGAAGGAGGAGGAGAAGAGAACGAAGACGAGAGTGTGTTATTCTTGTCAGTTGAGTAAGAGAAAGAAAGAAAGAAAGAAAGAAAGAAAGAAAGAAAGAAAGAAAGAAAGAAAGAAAGAAAGAAAGAAAGAAAGAAAGAAAGAAAGAAAGAAAGAAAGAAAGAAAGAAAGAAAGAAAGAAAGAAAGAAAGAAAGAAAGAAAGAAAGAAAGAAAGAAAGAAAGAAAGAAAGAAAGAAAGAAAGAAAGAAAGAAAGAAAGAAAGAAAGAAAGAAAGAAAGAAAGAAAGAAAGAAAGAAAGAAAGAAAGAAAGAAAGAAAGAAAGAAAGAAAGAAAGAAAGAAAGAAAGAAAGAAAGAAAGAAAGAAAGAAAGAAAGAAAGAAAGAAAGAAAGAAAGAAAGAAAGAAAGAAAGAAAGAAAGAAAGAAAGAAAGAAAGAAAGAAAGAAAGAAAGAAAGAAAGAAAGAAAGAAAGAAAGAAAGAAAGAAAGAAAGAAAGAAAGAAAGAAAGAAAGAAAGAAAGAAAGAAAGAAAGAAAGAAAGAAAGAAAGAAAGAAAGAAAGAAAGAAAGAAAGAAAGAAAGAAAGAAAGAAAGAAAGAAAGAAAGAAAGAAAGAAAGAAAGAAAGAAAGAAAGAAAGAAAGAAAGAAAGAAAGAAAGAAAGAAAGAAAGAAAGAAAGAAAGAAAGAAAGAAAGAAAGAAAGAAAGAAAGAAAGAAAGAAAGAAAGAAAGAAAGAAAGAAAGAAAGAAAGAAAGAAAGAAAGAAAGAAAGAAAGAAAGAAAGAAAGAAAGAAAGAAAGAAAGAAAGAAAGAAAGAAAGAAAGAAAGAAAGAAAGAAAGAAAGAAAGAAAGAAAGAAAGAAAGAAAGAAAGAAAGAAAGAAAGAAAGAAAGAAAGAAAGAAAGAAAGAAAGAAAGAAAGAAAGAAAGAAAGAAAGAAAGAAAGAAAGAAAGAAAGAAAGAAAGAAAGAAAGAAAGAAAGAAAGAAAGAAAGAAAGAAAGAAAGAAAGAAAGAAAGAAAGAAAGAAAGAAAGAAAGAAAGAAAGAAAGAAAGAAAGAAAGAAAGAAAGAAAGAAAGAAAGAAAGAAAGAAAGAAAGAAAGAAAGAAAGAAAGAAAGAAAGAAAGAAAGAAAGAAAGAAAGAAAGAAAGAAAGAAAGAAAGAAAGAAAGAAAGAAAGAAAGAAAGAAAGAAAGAAAGAAAGAAAGAAAGAAAGAAAGAAAGAAAGAAAGAAAGAAAGAAAGAAAGAAAGAAAGAAAGAAAGAAAGAAAGAAAGAAAGAAAGAAAGAAAGAAAGAAAGAAAGAAAGAAAGAAAGAAAGAAAGAAAGAAAGAAAGAAAGAAAGAAAGAAAGAAAGAAAGAAAGAAAGAAAGAAAGAAAGAAAGAAAGAAAGAAAGAAAGAAAGAAAGAAAGAAAGAAAGAAAGAAAGAAAGAAAGAAAGAAAGAAAGAAAGAAAGAAAGAAAGAAAGAAAGAAAGAAAGAAAGAAAGAAAGAAAGAAAGAAAGAAAGAAAGAAAGAAAGAAAGAAAGAAAGAAAGAAAGAAAGAAAGAAAGAAAGAAAGAAAGAAAGAAAGAAAGAAAGAAAGAAAGAAAGAAAGAAAGAAAGAAAGAAAGAAAGAAAGAAAGAAAGAAAGAAAGAAAGAAAGAAAGAAAGAGAGAAAGTAAGAAAGAAAGAAAGAAAGAGAGAAAGAAAGAAAGAAAGAAAGAAAGAAAGAAAGGAAGAGAGAAAGAAAGAAGGAAAGAAAGAGATAAAGAAAAAATGAAACAGAGAGAGAAAGGAAAAAAAGGGAAAGGAAGAAAGAAAGAAGGAAAGAGAGAAAGAAAGAAAGAGAGAGAGAGAGAAAGAAAGAAAGAAAGAAAGAAAGAAAGAAAGAAAGAAAGAAAGAAAGAAAGAAAGAAAGAAAGAAAGAAAGAAAGAAAGAAAGAAAGAAAGAAAGAAAGAAAGAAAGAAAGAAAGAAAGAAAGAAAGAAAGAAAGAAAGAAAGAAAGAAAGAAAGAAAGATAGAAAAAAGAAAAAAAGGAAAAGAAGGAAGAAAGAGAAAGAAAAAAACGGGAAAAAAGCGAAAGAGAAGGCGGAGAGGTGTACAGCAAGTCCTTTACCCGTTTTCTGAAAAGTATATTAAGAAAAGGCTCATTTCATGTTTCTCTTGGTTTCCTGAGCTTTTTTCCAATATTCCAAACAAAATATGAATTGTAAAAATATTATTTTTTCTCGGAGCATACTTATTTTTTTTTGCATCGGCATTACATGTTTAAATTCGTTTTAGCGCACATGAAAATAACCAAATGTTTAACGATGTACTTAAAAAGGATATACACTTCTAATTTTCTTCATATCTTGAAGCGACAGATAATTTTGCATAACCAAACTAATCGACTACCGAAACTTACCGTCCTGTTTGGAGGCAGAGGGCGGTTGACTGTGGTAATCGAGTGGTTGGACGAGTTGGTAGCGAAGCGGAGGAGGGCGTTAGTGACCATCGTGGTACTGACTCCTGGGGCGTGGTAAGGCACCGACTGATACAAGGATTTCATGTTCGTTGTTAGTCCGAGGATACCGGCTTCGAAGTCGGCCTAGGTTTTATCATGAAGAGGGAGAAGACGCTGTTGATTTATGGAAGGAATCTGCGTTGTGCGTGTTATGTGCGTACGCTTGGTATACAGACATGATTAAGTATACGCCCCCCCCTCCCTCCCTAACCTAAAGGAGAGAAGATAAAGGAGAGTATCCTTTATCTTCTCTTTTTTTACGTGGAAAATCTGAATAAGATTATCTCTTATCTTAATTATCTTACGTATAAATTTGTTACGCAGTATTACATACATAACAAGTGATGAATATTTCTTTTTATCACGTCACTCGGATTCTGTTCTCAGAATGTTACTGTACAGAACCGTACATCATAGAGCCATGCTAACCACAGCGAGGAGGGATTAATTAGTATAATAATGATCACATGAAATGCACACTAAAGCCAGAAGGGAAGAAGAACGAAACATTAATGCTTACCGAACAAATGTTATTCTCCCGGTACTGGAAAAGATCCTTATCGGCTTCAGCTAAAAGACTATCAGTCAGGTTGTCTGCGTACTCCGCCTACAAGGGAAAGGTCAGTATTTATTAACCTGTATTAGACAGAAGGAAATTGTCACTACTTGCGTATTGTATTTAGTATCATATCACCATACAGCACGCACCATAAACAGCCACAAATCTGTGTTGATGGATGTGTATATCTGTGTTTGTACGTGTGTATGTATGTGTAGGTGGGTGGGTGTTACTGTACTTAAGAGGTGCACACTGTACAGGTTATTAAAAGGCGTCGCTCGATAGATTCCTGGGCA